CCCCCCCCCCCTTCAGTCTCTCGCTCGGTTCCTTCCGTCCGCCCGTTGGTCAATTTTTCCTGTTTAGCCTTGTCCCAAGTTAAGGTGATGACCTCGCAGGACAAATGTATGACGTCAATAATGTTACGCTCGAATCTGCCATCGATCGATTTGAATACAAATACCGGAGTTCTTTTTGCCCGCAAACAGTTAAATAACTATTACAGAAATTAAAGAATAAGAAGAGAATAGAGATATGATTAAAAAATTAAAAAAGATTGAATACTAATAATTTGACCGGGGCATTTCTTCTTTCATTTTCTTGGTTCGTTAAACATTTCGTTTAGTGCCAGTTCAAAAGTCCAACTCTTGGCAAAAGCGATACTGAGAATGGAACTGACGCAAATTAAATACGGGTGAAGTCTGAAAGGACTTACCAATAGTCGACGGTTAATTTCTCGCTTTCTTCCAAATTCAACCGGTGGAATATACGAGGGTCTATCTTCATCTGCACTGAGTACGTTTTCCTTGAAAAAAAGTTATGATTTTTTTTAATAGTGTTGCACACTAACACAACAAGCCACTAAGTTTTTTGCCTCATGATCTTTACCCAGCGACAAGCTGTGTTACTGAACAAAGAAAATATACCAGATTGCTTTCAAAATGACATCCGTAACGGAGAAATGAGACATACAAAAGTAGGTCCTTATAACAAAAAGCCTTTTTTTTTTGCAAGGTATGGTTTTAATTCATATGACTCAGTGTAATCAGAAAATTTAAAGGCTTATGGAAAAAACACTCAACGTTCCTAAGTCAAAAAGTCTATTTACCTGAAGTATGTCCTCAGCGTTCCTTTTTCTCCCAAATTCAGGCGGTGGAATATAAGGCGGTCTTTGCGCGTCTGACAGTACAACCAAGCCAAAGCTAAGGATTAAACACAAAAACCATGATTGACTCTCCATGACTTCTAATGAATCAACAATAAACAAGCCGAGTTATATGCCTCAACAGTCAGTTGCTTTCTACTAATGGGAAGCCTTTATTTATAGTAAAATTCATTGAGTCATCTAAACAAAAAAGCCACACACCTGCTTATCTCTTTCACCCAAAGTGGGTTTTCTTTTCCAATCGATTTCCTGTATATGCGCCATTAAGACATGGTTCATATCCTTGTTAGGTGAAATTTTATCTGTTGCTTCCACGAGGAGATGGCTTTGAATTGAAATTGTGATTAAATTCCTCATTTCCCGATTTCCGACGCGTTCCATTGTTGAAATCATTAGGAAAACGGGATTAAATCTTTACTGATTTCCTTCCTTTTTTGGTTCATTCCCTCTAGTTCTCTTTTATCAGTTCGGGAGTATGCCAGTTTTGGAAGTAGCGATGACGTCATGATTCCATTGTTCTGCTAAAAATACGCAAAAATGGGGAAAAAAATCGCCAAAAACAGGGGAGCTTTTTTCAAAGCCTGTTCCAGGTCCACTCGTTCAATATCCGGGACTTCCGACCTAGCATTGCTGATGAAGAAGCCTTTTCCTTGTTTTTTGAATGTCAAGAGCAGTTTCGTGCCATATTAGGGTAGTTAAAATCGACAGTTATCAAACAGCGTTCGAAGGCGTTGCCGCCATATTGACGGGCATCGAATGTAAGTACATGTCTTTACGTTTAGTTTTCAGTATCTTGCCGAATTTTTACGAAATCAAGACTAATTTTCCTCAAAACTACAACGTGTAAGGTGTGTTCAGGCAAAGTTTCATCGATGGTAACAACCTAGTTAAAATGGTAACCACACATTGAAAATTGCCTACGGACAGGAAGGGTTACTATATTGATGGTTATTCCTTAGTCTGTCCATGTATTTTTAGTTAAAAGCGATCAAGTCTGTTTTTGGTTGTGTTCACCGGCACTGTATGCGACTCTGATCTAGAAATCACTTTATTGATCCAGATCATGTGTGTGGAATGAGTTTTAAATCAGTGTGAGTAGGTTCTTATATTGATTTCTTATATTTTGATCAGGATGTTCGTCCAAAATGTAGACAACATATTGCATGGACATATTGCAAACAGGTTGTCGCGTTTGTGCCAAAAAGCTGGGAAAAGGAACGAGGAAGGCAAATTGTTAAATATCTTCAGAACGACATATTTGTGCTCTGAGGGCAAAATGTTGCTTTAGAATCGCCTCATGTTTATGATGTTACTCTTCAATAAAAAATTTAATGTCCAAATTCAACCCTACCTCAGTAAAATCAAACATGTGTTTTTGTTTCTTTGTAGTGTGGTCACAGGCTTACCTACCACCACAAAGCCCCCTCCTCCCTCTCAAAAAATGGGTAAGAGGGAAACAGGTTGGAGGGGGGGCTTATATACCTTGTGAGTGGAAGCTCACACTTAATGACCATTCATACCATAGAAGAGACAGTGGCCCTTATTCAAGGGGCTTTAAAGGAGATAGATGAGGAAGGATTCATGGAAGTGGAGGCTTGTGTAGATTTTCTCCACATAATGTTCAATCCCTTGCGTCAAATATTGTTTATACTTTACAAATGCCAAATACATAATATGTTCAGTCCCTGTGCTGTGCAAAGGTCAATCTGAAACAAGAAAAATGCCACACTCTCCCCCATCAATACCTTTGCATGAACAATAAGCCCACATTTTATGTCATAATATTGAATATGTTTGTATTTGAATAAATCCTAAATTATTGAGATTCTCTCGATGAAAAAGCATCTATATTAATGTATCGTCTTCAACAAATCATCCTCGCTAATAAATAATACATGAGAGACATCTCACAAGATAACTATTGAAAACCTATGTCAGCTGCTTCTGTCTTCATTATATCAATAATTATTAAGCTTTGGTCTTTGGTTTTTGGTTTTCATGTCCAAGATTTTGAGGTATAAGAGTGTGTATAATATGCGAGCCAGCGAGCCATGGCAGCGAGTCATGCAGGTCAGATACGACTCATTGAAAACAATACATAAAAATCAAAAACAGTAATCTGGTAATACCGAAGGAATTAACTGAAAGCTAACCATGGTAAATAAGTGTTTAACCCTAAACAGCACTTAATGATAACCCTAACCCCAACCTAAGCCCTAATCAGTAAAAAGAATGCTTAACCGTAATTTGTAAAATTTGCAGTTTTTACTTGTTTTTACTTTATTTTTGCTGATCGTCTGCGTGACTTGCATAGCTCCCTTACTCGTAGTTTATGTCAGGACCAGAAATAAAATGTTTAAGTGCTGTTCAATAGAACCATGGAGAACTATGAAAAAGAACTTTGGAAAACTTATGTTGTGTCCATGCCAAGTGCAGCAATCATTATTATTTTGGGCCAAACCTTGTCTAATAGAATTGTTTGAGGGTCCCCACAGAGAAGACTTGGAGAAAAGTGCCCATCAAAGTTACGATGCCTTTGGTTTGAAGGCAACCCCAGAGTTAAAAACAATAATTTAGTATTATTCGGATATACATCAAATCCCATATAAGAGGATATTTTATAACAACCCATAACCCTGTTGATATCTGACCTCTGGTCAAATCCGGTGGATCCCATTTTAATCAATATATCCAAAAACAACAGGCATTCTTAGTTTTCTAATATGTATATTAAATTCTAAAGAGTCCCTTACATTTGTTAAGCTTGAGCAAATAATCAGTGAACTTCAGACAGTGGAATAATTGAAAGCAGTAGGTTTTTTTGAAGCGGGACAAAGAAAAAATGATCAGGGATGATAAGTAAGATTTTCACTTTGTGGGTTTTCAAGAAGAAAACGCGGACACAATACCCTCAGAAATCCCTTGTAAACCTGTTGTATACCTGGACGGAACCGCTTCAGGACATACACCAACAGAACATGAAATTCGAAAAAAACAGATATTTTAGTCACAAATGACTCGCTTGCACCAAAACAATAACCTGAATTACAGCCGTCTTCTCCGGCCAGTCGCTCACTCCCCGAGATAGAAACAGAAGCAACGGGAAAAATTACAGTAAAACTTACTCTTTGCAAACATGAGGAAATAAATTATAGAACAACTCACTTTTTCAGTTGTTTCCACAGCATTCTTTTTTCTTATAATATAAAAAATTAGTGAAAGATTTAGGCACAAACTTGTTAGCGTGCTTACCTATTTGCGATGTACAGATCACATACGCAGTGAGTACGAAGTGCCTACAAAGCGCGCAATAAGCGAGGAACTATAGCGCAAGAATGTTTACTCCTTGTCCTCAAGGTACTTCCCAATTCATAGTAAGGAGAAGACAAATAAAAGGCTCGATGAAACAAGAATAAACGAGAATTTCTGTCAATACTCTTTCCTCTCCCTTGTCCGCCATTTTGTATGTTTTGAAAATGGTCATCGCCATGGTGATCGTGTTATGGTTGGTGACGTAGACCATTGTTTTCGCTTCTTCCAAAACTGGCATACTCCCGAACTGTTTATTGTTTTCACATTTTACCGCAATATGAAAGAAACTACGCACCTCTGTCGCAGCTATTTAACAGTTACTTAGGAGATAAGATATTGAGCTTGACGCTCCTAACATGTCATGGACACAATTAATTTTTGAGTGTTAATTTCATAAACATTCAACGACGCATCTTAGTAAAGATGAGATGTTTTTTTTTAATTTGTTGATCATTAAATAAGCTTTTCGAGCCACATTTGTTTTTGAGTCGGGAAAGAATAACAACTTCTTTTATCTCGAATGGTGGACCATGCAGTTGTGAAAAGATAACCAAGGGCGAAGGAAATTCTGTGTAATTCTCTTTCTAGAACTGAAGAGAAACTTGCAAGCTGTTGGAAATTGCTTATCAGATATAGGTGTTTCAAGAAAATAAGGAGGCGGGTCACCATTAATCGATGATCTAAGTAATGGATGATCAGAAGAGAAAAAAAAACAGGCCACTAGGTAATTTGGACAGCTGAGTTAACTAAAAGGTATACTTAGGCCGTAAAGGAGAATTTTTTGGATCTTTTTTAAAATCAACTTTCCACCGACCACACTGTAATTTAGTCGTTTATTGCAACTATTACGTCCTCAATTCATTGTTCACTCGATTGGCGTCAAATTTACCAACAGAAACTTTTGAAAACCGTTATTAAGCACTTTTTAAACCTTTACGCACCACCACAGCTGTTTCTCATGTCGCTTGTAAAACCAAAATATTAGCAAAGAGAAAAGCTTTTTTTAAAAAAATGGCTTGTAAGCTCCTTCTGTAAGAGAAACAAAAACGGAGGTTGAAAATGAAAAAAAAAAAACTAAACAAAAAAAAATAATAATAAGACAATAAAAGAAAATGGCCATAAAGCAATGTTCAATATTTACAGTAGATAAGAAAAGACATATACAGGGTCCCAAGTGAATTTTTAATTGTAGGAAAAACCTGGCAGGCGCTGTTTTCGTGTTGTTACCCTATCGCAACCCACTTGTCCCGCGTCTGTCTTTTTTGTGGCTATTATCCTCCCACAACTTTGTACGTCATATAGATCAAAGAGCCCTCGGTTAATTATAATTCAACGCCAAATGTAAAGGGTACTGTAGATCATTAAAAAGTGGGATAGGCTTGGTTTTCGACACAAATAGCTGTAAAAAAATTTTGCCAGTAGAAAATGTTGGATTACCAGCCCAAAGGAAAGAAAACTGTTGCAAATTTTATTCGTTATATATTTAACAATTAATGAATGAGGCTGAGTATCTTATGAAGAATTATGGAGATCGAGGAGGGTGTTATCTGTCGAGGCCGTAGGCCGAGTCGGATAACACCCTCCGAGATCTCCATAATTCTTCATATGATACGAAAGCCGAATTCATTAATTGTTAAATATATAACGAATAATGTTTTCGTGTTGTTACCCTATCGCAACCCACTTGTCCCGCGTCTGTCTTTTTTCTGGCTATTATCCTCCCACACCTTTGTACGTCATATAGATCAAAGAGCCCTCGGTTAATTATAATTCAACGCCAAATGTAAAGAGTACTGTAGATCATTAAAACGCGGGATAGGCTTGGTTTTCGACACAAATAGCTGTAAAAAAATTTTGCCAGTAGAAAATGTTGGATTACCAGCCCAAAGGAAAGAAAACTGTTGCAAATTTTATTCGTTATATATTTAACAAATAATGAATGAGGCTGAGTATCTTATGAAGAATTATGGAGATCCAGGAGGGTGTTATCCGTCGAGGCCGTAGGCCGAGTCGGATAACACCCTCCGAGATCTCCATAATTCTTCATATGATAGGAAAGCCGAATTCAATAATTGTTTTATTATTCATTCAAAATAATTCCTAGTTCAAAAACATAGCTAAAACAAGCTTACCTGAATCGATGTTAAGTTTATCTTCGATAGTTTACGTTTAGGTTTGTCCAGCTCCGCAAATATTCTCCAAATAGCAGATGTCGCCCTCCGAGTTGTCTTCTGTTTTGTTATGTTCTTAGCCATTATTTCGCCTAGTTCCAGCTGTAGTTCTTACTCTTGAAACTAGTGAAGTGTCCGCCATTTTAGTTTTACAACGAAGACAACTCAATCTCCTCCCCAGGTCTTCCGGGTTAACGGAGCATTAACCTGTATAGAAGGCTGCATTTTTGACGTCATTTCTTCGTTAAACACAGAATTCTTCCAAATTTGGTCATCAGTAACTGGTTATGGTAAATTATGCGTTTGCTTTTAGCCAATCAGAATTGGGCAAATATTTTAAAGGAATAATAATTTTATTTAATCACTGAAAGAAAAAATAGACAATCGAGAAGTCAACTATTTTTCTTTCACGATTTTTTAAAAAAAAATTAAGCGAGTCGCTTCACATTACAATGAAAAGGAAACAGACTCCTATCACATGGCATAAATTTTAGATTGAGGAGATTCTATCTCTGGCCTTAGTTTTTGCGTATCCGTTAAAGATAAACAAGCATTTTTCTCAGTCACTTTCGTTGAACCCAATACAACGCACAGCTAGCTTTACACGTGGTTTTCTACGTTGGCTGTCAATGAAATATACATAATGGTTGACTACTTTAACAATATTTGAAAAAAAAGTTAAAATAGATTTTTAATTCTGCATCTTTCTGTAATTTTCTTTTAACTATCGTCTGACGATAGTTACTTAGGCAGACTTAGCCTGTCAGGTCGCAAAAAAATCACAGTAAGTTTTTAGTCATGAAATGAGATGAAAATAAACATATACTTTTTCCATCAGTAATCGTTAAACTAATTGCCTTATTGCCCCCGCCACAGGAGGCTCTCTAGTAGCTCGCTCTAGTATATTAACCCTTTAAACCCTAAGATCAACATTTGAATTCTCATTTGTTGCCCCTATTCATTTCCTACGGAAGTAGTGGGGCGAAGTTGATAAAATATCATGCAAATACACCTTGTGTGATCATGTTTGTAATTCGCATGACCACTATGTGCTACAAGGCATTGATATTACAAGGAGAAATTCGATGCTGATCATTTTTAGGGCTTAAAGGGTTAAGAAAAGTACTAAATGCCAAGAAAAATCTCGATTTTCTTGAACAGGGGCCGCATGGAATTGTTGGGTAATGATGACGTTTCTATTGTTTGCGCCCGCAAGTACGAAATGGTTAGGATGACTTAAAACAGAAAATCCCGAAGGGACTGCTTATAGATTTTGCGACATTTATCAGTGACATTCTGTGGAGCAGCTGTTTTGAAAGTTATGAACCAAAAGACACTCGCTAAGCGCAGATGAAGTTATACGGTGCGCATAACTGTTTATATATGAATACTTGGAGAGTTTGCCAGACATGAGTTCACAATATCTTTGATTGGAAACAATTTGGCAGACACTTTTTCTCTCCAGTTTTGGGGAAATTAGACTCAGTCCACAAAACCGGTCTGCAAACAAGCAAGACGAGTGAATCGACGGCTAGCTTATCACTAACAGAACGATGGGCGATTACAGAAATTCTCCGACAATTTTAAAAAGGATAATAATAGTCTTTATTAAAAACCAATAATGCATCAACCGTGCCTATTTACAATGAATATAAAATATGAAACAAATTAAGATTAAAAAAATACAACTAGCTACTAATGGCAGACAATGTTAAAAAGACATCTGTTTACAAAAGTGGATTTAAAACGTGAAGAACGAACTCTAGGTAATATGTAATCATGGCCCCTGCTGCGTAAGTGCCTAGTACGTCTCGGCGGTAAGAGATCATCAAGTGCAGTGGTATTTGCTGTGATCTTGTTCCATAATTTGCTGTCTCTGGTGGTTAAAATATCACAAATACTATATTTCTTCAAACAGTATCCTGACTTAAAAGCCCTAGCAAAGAGTTTGTCAATTCTCTTTAGATATTTATCGTAATAACAGCAACCACACACCTCAATTGCATATGTAAAGACTGAGATAATTAGACTTTGGAAGAGCAGATCTAATTGCTCCTTAGG